CCCTTTTCAGCACAGGGCCAATGGCCACCATTGGAGAAGCGCCTGCACATAAACCTCTTAGAGCTATCATGCTTTTCAATGCCTGCAAGTGTTTCCGCACAAACATCCAGAACACCACAGTGAGAATACTTATGGGCAACATCACGGCCGTGTATTACATCAACCGACATGGCGGAGCTCACTCCCGTTCCCTGTGCATGGAAGCCATCTGTTTCTGGAATTTGTGCATTTGCCACGGAACATCATCACCCTGAAGTAGCTCATCTTCCTCTGGTATTGGACTATCTTATGCACCTAAAGGAGACAGGCCTTAAGTTAGCGTCTCTTCAAGTACACCTCAGCTGTTTGTCGGCTCAACGCGGCAGCCATGTAAATTTAAATGAAGTGGCTATTATTTAAATCGCCGCTTCATTTTACTCTGTCGGGTAGCCTAATCTACATGCCTCTGTCGCCAGAGGCATGTAGTCTAGACGTACCCTAAAGCTCTCCATGAGGAGGGTAGAGCAATCTCCAGGGCAGCCCTCCAGGTGGCTCTCGACGTGGCTGATGCTACTGCCTGTGATGGCCACAGATGTGGTCCTACGCTGTAGCTCCTGGCTCCAGGGCTCTGGGGTCCCTTCAGAGCTCCAAAACACCATCCAGGACCTCCCCTTTGAAGGTCCCTCGCTTTTTTCGGAGCAAACGGACCAACTGCTCCACGTTCTCAAGGACATGTGTGCCACCCTGAAATCCTTGGGCATGCACACCCCTGCTGCTCAGAGGCCCTTGTTCCCAAATAAGAATGTTCCTAGATTGTCTCCACAAGCTCCATGCCATGACTTCTCCCACAGTAGAAGCAGAAGCGGTAACGGCAGGAATAACAGGCGCCAGCCCCAGATCAGAACCAGGGGCCTCCCAATAAAAACTCAGGGCCCCTGCCAGGGGTTTTGATGGGACGCTTGAGGGCATTCTGCCAGTCTCCCCACTCACCTTCCAGGACCATTTATCCCACTTCCTTCAGGCCTGCCAGTCCATTACGTCAGACCAATGGGAGCTGGAGATAGTGGAAAGGGGTTATGTAATCTCTTTCCACTCGCTCCCAACCCCCTACCTGCCCCTTTTCAGGGACCCCTCTCACGAGCCTCGGCTCAAGAAGAGGTTCACCACTTCCTTACGCTGGAGGTGGTAGAGTGGGTTCCCTCTGACTTTCAGGGCAGGGGAGTCTATTCCTGTTATTTTCCTGTCCCATAGGCCAAAGGGGGTCTCCGTCCAATTTTGGACCTCAGAGCCCTCAACTCGTTCATTTCCAAAGCAAAATTCAAAATGGTAACATTGGTCTCCATAATTCCCTCGTTAGCCCCCGGAGACTGGTACGCTGCCCTTGACTTAAAGGACGCTTATTTCCATTGCCTCCCACCATCAGAGGTTCCTTGGTTTTACTGTGGGCGTGGACCACTACCAATTCACGCCTTCCTTTTGGCATTTTGACGGCCCCTCAGGTCTTCAGCAAATGCATGGTGGTTGTGGCCACCGTTCTGAGGAAAGGAGGCATTTAAGTGTTCCCCTACCTCTGACTGGCTCCTAAGGGGACATTCCGAGTTAGGTGAGAGGCCACATCGGCCTGGTCCAAAGCCTCTTTGGGGATCTCGGGCTTCTTCTGAACTTGGACAAGTCAACCCTGATCCCAATCCTGATGATAGTTTGTGGGTGCCTCCCTGGACTATTTGTTGACAAGGGCCTCACTGCTCAGGTCCCGGTTCCGCTCAATAGAGGCTGCTGTCAGGGCATTATAGAACTTTCCAGTGACTACCGCCTGGACATGCATGAGGCTCTTGGGCCTCATGGCTGCCTGCACTTACATAGTGCAGCATGCCAGACTGCGCATGTGCCTGCTTCAGATGTGGCTATTGCGAGACCACAACCTAGCTGTCCACTCATATGGGACAGCGTGGTGACGGTTCCCACCCCCCTCCTGCTCTCGCTGGACGAGTGGAACCGTCAAGAAGGGGTCTGAGCAGGGGTCCCCCTCTCCAGACCAGTACTGTCCACGCATCTTGTCTCAGATACCAGCTGGGGAGCCCAGCTGGGGGACCTGCATACACAAGGTATGTGGGCCGTGGACGAGCTCTCCCTGCATATCAATATCAGAGAGCTCCGGGCAGTCTGTCTGGCCTGTGCGGCTCACCTCAGAGGTAAGTCCATCCTTATCCTGTCAGACCGCACGACAGTGGTGGCGTATATAAACAAGCAGGGCGGGGCACGATGCCCTCGCCTGTGTCTGGAGGCAATCCACCTCTGGGATCTCTGTATCGGGTGGATATCCACCTGATGGCCTCGTACCTCCCAGGTTCTCAATATGTCCTAGCGGACAGGCTGAGCAGGACCGTTGCTGAGCGTGAATGGTCTCTAAGATGGGATGTGGCCCATTCCACTTTTTGTGCGTGGGGGGGGAGGGGTCTCCCCATCTAGACCTGTTCGCCATAGGGGAGAACTAGAAGTGCCTAAGGTTCTGCGCCATCATGGGACGGGGTTCTCTGGGAGATGCTCTCCTCCTCCCCTGGCTGGAGGGTCTGCTCTCTGCCTTCCTGCCATTCCCACTCATTCACATGGTCCTCCTGAGAGTACGGGAGTTCAGGGCATCACTGATCCTCATCGCCCCAGCGTGGCCCAGACAGCACTGGGTCTCAGCCCTTCACAGTCTGTCATGCGAGAGACCTATGGTCCTCCCGCTGTCCCCGGACCTGATCTCTCCGGACTTAGGCATGCTCCACCCCCCAGACCTGTAGTCGCCGCACCTGACAGCGTGGAAGCTCCGTGGCTGATGGTGGCAGAGCTTCAGTGCTTGGCCCGGGTCCAGGAAATCCTATTGGGTAGTAGAAAACCTTCCACTAGGGTCACCTAGCTCACCAAGTGGAAGTAGTTCTACGTCTGGGTCTCCTGTGATCTTGGATTACCTGTTGGACCTCAGGCTCCAGGGACTCTTCTCCTCCTCCTTCTCCATTGAAGTCCACCTAGTGGCTATTTTGGCCTTCCATCCCGGAGAAGGGGGAAAAACCCTGTTTGAAAACCCCATGGTTAACAGGTTTCTGAAAGGAATGGACAGACTCTACCCTCATGTCTGTCAGCCTGTTCCCCAGTGGAACCTCAGCCTGGTTCTCTCAAAACTCACAGGGCCACCGTTTGAGCCATTGGCAACATGCTCCCTACTGTACCTGTCCTACAAGGTGTCCCTCCTGGCAGCGCTCACATCTGCCAGGTGGGCATCTGAACTCAGGGCACTCACCACAGATTCCCCCCCGCCTTCTCCCATACAGTGTTCTTCAAGGTTAAGGTCAGGCTCCGCCCTCACCCTTCTTTTTTTTTTACCCAAGGTGGTGTCTGCCTTCCACGCCTCCCAAGACGTTTTCTTCCCAGTGTTTTGCCCCATGCATCAGGGAAAGAACAGGCTTTACACACTTTAGACATTAGAAGGGCTTTAAGCCTTTTATTTAGATAGGACAAAACCATTCCGGAAATCGCCCCAACTCTTTGTGGCCGTTGCAGAGCATGTAAGGGGGCAACCTGTGTCCTCACAGAAGATTTCCTCCTGGATTACCACCTGCATTAAGGAGTGCTATGCCCTGGCGGGGGTTCCAGCTCCTTCCCTTAGAGTGCACTCCACGAGGGCCGTGGCCTCTTTCACGGCTTTAGCAGCACGGGTCCCTATCCTGGACATCTGCAGGGCTGCCTCCTGGTCCTCGGTCTACCCTTTGGCTAATCATTATGCGCTGATACACCAGGCCTGGGAGGACGCCACCCTGGGCAGGGTGGTTCTCCATTCATTGGAAGCATCAGCATCCGGCCCTCCTCCTTAGGTTCTGCTTTGGAGTCACCTACATGGAATGCACATGAGCAATCACTCGAAGAAAGAACAGTTACTTACCTCGTAACTGTTGTTCTTGAGATGTGTTGCTCATGTCCATTCCAAATCCCCTCCCAAATCTCCAGAGTATTCCGGTAAGAAAGAACTGAGTGGCTGGAGGACCAGCAGGAGTATATATGGGCTGGTATACCGGTGCCACTCCAGGGGGCTCCCCTGCTGGCCCAACAGCTACTGCTGAGGGAAAAATCTCAGATGTGTGCACGCACCTACATGGAATGGACATGAGCAACACATCTCAAGAACAACAGTTACTAGGTAAGTAACCGTTCTTTCTCAGGTAGACCAGGCCTCAGCAAGAAGCATATTATTGAAAGCCTGGGTGTACACATGTTTCCAAACATAGGGAATAACATAGAAGGGGTTGCAGGTGTTAAAGTGATAAAGCACGTCAAGTGCTCATGGCACTTGGGACTTTGGATTATGCTTCCACACATAAGGTGGCTGAAGTAATATCTTTTATTGGAACAGAAGTTGTTCGCTTATGCTGGTGAAAGAAACAAGTTTTTGAGCCACATGCAGCACTATACAACTCAAAAGCTTATGTATCTTGCCAACAGAAACTAGCCCAACTGAGTTTTACCTTACCCAACTTGACTTTGCTATCCTGGGACCTACACAGCTACCACAATACTGCAGATAAGCTCTTACCTACATTTTGAGTTTCTGATTTGAGTGTTTTTAATATTTGTATAATCCAGAGCAGTATATTATAAATCCCTGTCACCAAACAAATAGCATTTGTGTCTAGCCTGAGACAATTAAGAACAGGACTTTAAATGAGCTATTTGAATAGAGGTAAGAGTAGCACCTTTCTAGCAGAAAATATAAAAGCTAACTCATCTCAAAGTTTAGCATCAGTTCTTTTTTTTGCTTTGAGAATTAGTAAAATTGTGTATCTTTGTTTAGGAACCATGTTTTCTTGATTCCTGATAAATGAAGGGAGCAGAGCAGAAAGCTTCATTTAACAAGTGTCTTATCTTATTTGTTGCAGCACAACAAATGTGGAAGGTCATTTGTAAATTTAAATAGAAGACCTGGGGGATGATGTGTCTTATCAACTGATTTATTTTACTCTTCTTCCCCACCCCCCATTTTGCAGTTTGTTGCATAATTTAAGGACCCGGATCTAAGGCTTGGTGGCCTGTCCCTTGTGATTCTTGGTTTATGACTGTCGGCTTTGCGGAATACGGCTGAGATGAAAGGATTTCTTGAGGATGCAAACTACTCCATTGGCTTGCTGGATGAAGGAGCAACTCTCGGAGATGTTATTGACAACTATGTTTATGAACATACACTTGTAAGTATTTGACCAAGTCCTACTAGTTTATTTTAATTACATTAATATTCATGTCTAAATTGCTAATACTAGTTTGAAACTAGAAATTGAAAAAGGTATGTCAGACTGTCACATGTATTATAGGCAAAATGGCCATGGTACATGAAGTTAAGGTTTCCTAGCATTTTTAATTTTAAACCTCTTTCCAACTGCCTATAACCTTGCTGAATTTAAACCATTTTGGGCTGAAGTTTTTCATGTTTGCTCTGTCTCAGTCTGAATTTTGTGGCAAAGTTTGAGCAAAAACTGGTTAGCCACTTTCAAGAATTAAGTTATGGGGGGAAATAGCCTTTCCAGTGTTAAATAAATAAAATTATCCAGCTGTTCCTAAGAGCTTAGCATCCATGGGATCTGGAGCAGGTATCTGAGGTGTGGCCAGTACATAGTGCTGCGGTTAGAGAATTACCTTTTATTGTCCCCATGAAAATTTGCCCAGATTTGGCTGATTTATAAGCATCTGAAAAGAATAATTTTCACATGGTCAGAGATTGTTTGGGTTTTCCATTAGCCCCATAGAACTCTTCTCTGTATATACTAAATGCTCAGTAAAAAAGGGCTATGACATCACAGGAATATCCAGAAGATCCAAGACTAGAACTCAGCACCTTCTCCTGGCTTCTAGTGCAGCGTACGTGTTCTAGGCTGAAGAAGTAAATTGTTGTTTTCTCACTGCACCCCTGTTCCTAGCATGTAGGAGGCTTGTTGGGATCTGGGAGCATATATAGCATGCTTAGCATATGTGAAGAAATGGGGAAAACAATAAATGTCATCTCTCAACTTTAATTAGGCTCTTGATACAGTCTCACATGATCTCATCATAAGCAAACTAGGGAAATATATTCTCTCATTTGAGAATAGTTCTCAATGGTTCAGAGTCAAAGTGAATGGGTACATCTCCAGTGGAATCCTAGAGCAGAGGTGGCCAACTTGTTAGAGATGAAGAGTCAAAATAGCGGTGGATAAAGCATGAAGTGCCATGTACTGGGAAGGGGAGTAGGGGGGAGAGTTGAGTGCAAAAAAAAAAAAAAAAAAAATCCACACCATGCCAGGGAAAAATAGGTGCCAGTACACCGTCCCGGGGCATACCATCACAAAAAAAGCGTGGGAAGGGGTGAGAGGTGCAAGCTCTGGGAGGGAATTTGGGTGCAGGAAGTAGAGAAGAGGATGCTGGCTCAGGGAGGGGGCTCCAGGCTGGAGAATGTTGGGGTCAGGGGGGTGGTTAGGGTGCTGCGTGAGCTGCAGGCTTGTGGCTGTGAGGGTGCAGGAGTTTGGGGTGGGGTGCATGAGGGCTTCAGGGCAGGGAGGCTGGGAGTATGATGGGTTCAGGACACAGATTTGCAGTGTGTGGATGGTGCAGGAGTGTTGTGGCAGAGGACTGGGGATGCAGGAGTTTGGGGATGTGAGCAGCTCAGGACGGAGTTTTAGTGTATGATAGGCTCAGGTTTGGGGCCTGTGGGGTACAGGAGTGTTATGTTGCTGTGGCCAGATGGGGGCTGGCCACAATTGGGAGCTTGTTAGCCAGACTTCATTTTTAAATATATTATCTCAACACACAATTTTTCAGCATTGTTTTTATTTGAGAGGGACGGGGAACCTGTTTTGAGTCGGATCACTAACCCACAGAAAAGTCAGTCGGGGTGGGAGCAGGGTACGCGTGGGAGGGGACTGGCCAGGGGGAGGGGACATACAGCTGAGGCCAGAACCTGGGGATCCTGGGTCTCAGGAAGCATGCAGGCTGCTCTTCCCCTCCCCTAGGCACCCCTGCTCTAACCCAGTCCACTTTCCCAGAGCCAGGCACTCCCCCCCAACCCAATCCCCTTTCCCTTCCCCAGAGCCAGGCACCCCTCCCCTTGCCCAAACTAATTCGCCGGTCGCAGAGCTGCCGCTACAGCCACACGCGTCTCCCTCCAGGCACTGGGGCATGTGCGCTGAGTGGCCTGCCTTGAGACGTGTTGCCTGGGATACCATGTGCACCCTGCCCCCCAATCCAATCCTCCTCCCTTCCCCCAGACTAGAGCTAGGCACCCGCTCTAACATAATTCTTGGGTCCCAGAGCTGCTGCTACAGACACGCGTCTCCCTGCAGGGAATGCATGTACGCTGAGCGGCCGGCACACCATGTGCCACTCTCTCCACCAACCTTATGCTCAGGTCCCGGAGCCAGAGCCATGCCGCCGCCACTGCTACTGCCATGCGCGTCTGGGATGCTATGCGCACACCCCATGCAATCCCCCTCCCCTTCTCCAAAGCCAGGCATCTTCTTCCACCTCCTTCCCCCCGCATCCCCCCCACATCAGCTCTAGCCCAATTCCCGTCCTCCACTAACTATGCCCAGGTCCTGTAGCTGCTCAGTGAGACCTGGCCTGCACATGTAGGATATGATATATTGCGCTGGGGTCCGTGAGCGCGCATGCGGCTCACAGCGGCCCAGCTGTGAGAGCGGCAGACCTGAGCGGTTCCGGGTTCTATCTCGGCTCAGTTAGGAGCTGCAGTTTTTTTCTTTGCAAGCCGCATGCCGGCCACCCCTCTCCTAGAGGGAACTGTTCTGGCTTCAGTCCTAGTTAATATCATTAGGATCGTGGCATAGAGAATGCTCTTATGAAACTTGCAGAGGATACCAAGCTGGAAGGAGTTGTAAGCGATTTGGAGGACAGGGCTAGAATTCAAAATTATATCAACAAATTGAAGACATGGTTTGAAAGAAATAAGATAGAGTTCAATAAAGACACATGCAAAATACTACACTTATAATTACACAAATATAAAATCAGAAATTGCTGCCCAGGAAGGAGTATTTCAGAAAAAGATCTCAGGATTATAGAGGATCACAAAATAAATGAGTCAACATTGTAATACTTACCAAAAAAAAAGTAAACTTCACTCTGGAATGTAGTAATAGGAATGTAGTAAGCAAGACATGAGAAGTAATTCTTCCACTCTGCTCAGCACTGTATTGGCAACAATTGGAATATATTGCTGAGCAATTTAGTGCCGAGCAAAGGCCTCCACAGGAAAGATGGGGATAAACTGGAGAAAGTACAGAGAAGAGCAACAAAACTCAAAAGTTTGTAAAACTTGACCTATGAAGAAAAGTTGAAATAATGGGATTTATTTGGTCAACGGAAGACTGGGAAGGGATATAAGTTTTCAAGTACGTTAAATGGGTGGAGAACCTTTTTTTTTGGGGGGGGGGAGAGGGGAGGACGACACTGACCCACAGAATAATCAGTTGGGGGCCACACACAAATTAGAAACAAAAGCAAACTCTCACCAACATGGCTCCTGACAGAGAAGTAGAAAGACACTCCCCACAGTCTCCTCACACACCAGGTCTTACGGGGGCACAGGCTAGTAGATTTTGTGTGCTCCAGGTCTGTAATGGGGCAGTGGAGATGTGGGGGTCCCTGATGCTGAGGGGGCTCTGAGACTCGGGCTGGATCCAGGCAAACTGGGGTTGTTACAAAGAAGAGAGTGATAAATTGTACTCCTTATACACTGAGGACTGCAAAGCAGATTAATATAAAACATTAGAAAAAATTCTAATTGTAAGGGTGATTAAGTGCTGGAGCAAATTACATAGGGAAGTGGTGGAATCTCCATTACTGGATGTCTTTAAGACCAGGAAAGACAAAGACCTGTCTGGGATGATCGTGATGATAAAGATTTAATCTTGGCTTGGTTCAGGGGACTGGACAAGATGACCTATTGATGTCCCTCCAGTCCTACATTTGTGTGATGCTATAGCCAAAAATTAAAGGACTTGAAAAAAAATGCTTGTAAGGAGCTATTTTATAACCTTAAATATCGTTCTAGGAAAAGTCATAAGACCTTTGCCCTGCTGTTGTTGCTGCGGCCACTGTTGCTGCCGCACCACTGCCTGGGTGAGACGCCTGCCTCTTTGAAACTAAGAACATTTAGCTGCAGATGTTGCCTGCAGCCATTACAAGGGTGGGTCCAAGTGTGACCAATCTGAACCAGTGTCTAGAGGCAGTGGTGGACTGGATGAGGTCAAATAAACTGATGTTGACTCCACATAAGACTGAGGTTCTGTAGATCAGGAAGCCATGTTCTGGGAATGTGGTTGTGTTACGTGTTCTGGATGGGGGTCATACTTCCACTGAAAGACCAAGTTATGCAGCTTTGCAGTCCTCTTAAACCTCTTTCTAACATTTGAGAACCAGATTTCTTTGGGTGGCCAGGAGTGCTTTTGGGTAGCTTCTGCCAGCTGCAACTCTTCCTGAATAAGAATGACCTAGCTACAGTGATTCATGCTCTTGTCACATTCCAATTGGACTACTGCAAAGTACTCTACACAGGCTGCCTTTGAAGAGTCTTAGGAAGCTTCAGCTGGTCCAGAATGTGGCTGCTCGAGTTTTAACTAACACCTGTTATACAGAGCACATTAGGCTGGTCCTCCGGCAGCTGCACTGGCTTCCGGTATGTTTCCGAGAACAATTCAAGGTCTTGGTTATGACATTTAAAGACCTAAATGGGTTGGAACCCAGGTATCTGAAGGACCGTCTCCCATAGGAACCTGCCTGGGGATTGAAGTCAGCTGGGAAGCTCTGCTCTGTGGTCTTCCACTTACGGAGATACGGTTAATGTCTACGCCAAGCAGGGCCTTCTCGGCCTTTGCCCCCAAGCTATGGAATTTTCTCCCCCGGGACATTCACCTGGTGCCAGTGCTGTCGCTGTTTTGGCACCAGGCTAATGCCATCCTTTTTACCTGTGCTTTTATTAAGGTGTCTTCACAGGTTTTATGTCCCCCCTTTTGGGTTGTGTCTGTCTATCAGTGTTTTAAAATTTTGTAAGCTGCTTTGAATATTTTAAATAGAGAAGCGTGATACAATTATTTTAAATCAATAATACTTGGCATTTAAAGAAGCACCTTAACTCAAGAAATCTTAAAGTATTATGTAAACAATTGTAATAATTTATTTGAAGGAGTAGGTATGTATTACATTTTAAAATTGGGTAAATTGTGGCACAGATTGCACCAAAGTCAAATGAAATAGTGAAAGTCCTACATTAAGCCACTGGCAGAACAGAAAATATAATCTGATTCCCATCTGAGAAACATGAAATATTTGTGTTTCATAGGATACTTGTGCTTTTATTTCAGGTCCACCATTATAGAAATTTGACTTATTTTTGTACTGTCCTTTGTTTATAGACTGGAAAAAATGCATTTTTTGTTGGTGATCTTGGAAAGCTTCTGAAGAGACACCTCCAATGGCAGAATGTGATGGCACCAGTAAAACCATTTTACACTGTAAAATGCAATTCCACTCCAGGTGTACTCGAGATTCTGGCAGCTCTTGGAACTGGGTTTGCATGTTCTAGTAAAGTGAGTGTCTTGTTCTGTGTATCCTGTTTGCCTGTCAAATTACCCTCTCTATCCTGGGGCCTATTAAATCTGTACTGGGTAAAATTTCAGCTCTTGGTACCAGTTACTATGCAGACATACTATTTGCCTTAAACTATGTAAACCCTTTATTATTATTTCTTTATCAGGATAGCAATTCCATTTTTGTGCTCTTAAAGCAGCTTATAATGTAGTTTTGCTAGAGGAAAACCTTACTTGAGCTATATGTCTCCACATAAATGAAGATCGATTCACTACTGGTGCTAATTTGACTTGTCTAATGCTTTAATACTGTGGTGTTTTTCAGTCTGAAATGGCATTGATACAAGACTTGGGCATTGCTCCTGAAAACATTATATATACAAATCCTTGCAAGCAAGCTTCTCAGATAAAGTATGCAGCGAAAACTGGGGTAAACATCATGACTTGTGACAGTGAAAGTGAACTAAAGAAAATTGCACGTAACCATCCAAGTGCTAAGTAAGTGTTGTGTTAAAAAGAGAGAAATCTTAAGTTTCTCTTATTGCTGTGGGAATTTTAACTTTGGCTATGGTATGGGTTATCTGTTTACCTGGAAGCAAGAGAAGCATGTGGGTTTTTTAATGCAGTTCACTTGCATGTATTTTGTCCAACCTTCCCTGGCTTGTATAGCAGCATTTCTCTAAAAATAGCATTTTATTGCAGGATTTTCTCTTCTGGGTCTCAGCTTCATAGCATAACAGATGAAACTCCCAAGGCTCAGGAAAGCCTCGGGGAACTTTGGCTTTGGGGGGTCCAACTTTAACTTCAGTATTCTGGCAGTTTAATTTCAGTACTTGGGCGCCTGCCTTGAGGCTTCACCTCTTCTTCATCTACAAGTAGTCTCGCTTTGCATGGCTTCAGTGTTTTATTTCAGGATGTTATGCATTTACTTGACTCCCAGTGGTTTCAGTTGTCAACAAATAAGCTCGTACATTGCCTCTTGTGCCTAGAATGTAGGTGTGTTGTGCAGTGATTTTTAGGATATACCTTCAGACGTCATCAGCGATTTGAGAGTAGTGGGTATTGCCTCCAGTTCCTTCTTGAGATCTTGACCATGGCTCAGTAATTCAGAAGAGAAATCACTTAATCGTAAACCTAAATCTGCTTTACCTCCTGAGTGCTGGAGTTCTGATAGTGCTACCCACACTGGTACAGATTCCACTTCTCTCCAAACAGTGTAAGAGCTTCCTCAAAGCATCTTGCCTCATTCCCATTCATTACAGGGGACTCCTCCATGCTCTGAGCGTCCCAAAATAGTGGAAGTTAGTACTTGAAATGAATAGTGCTGTGCTTCACATTGGTTAACAAGACACTGCTTCCACATAAATTTCAAGAGGAAACACCAAGAAACAAGGTGCCCTGACATACTGCTACCAAAGCACATGACTCTATTCAGGTTCGCATCCTGGAAATGAGTCTGGGGAGATGGTATGATGATATGCTTGGGATCTTGCCATGTCCCTCCTGGTTATCTCTCGGGCTGTCTCAAAGGCTACCGTGCTACCTTCAGTGCCCATCTCCCACCCTGCATTGATACCTGATGGTGCATGGCACTACCAGAGCATCATCTGCACAGAGACTATACCCAAGTGTCGTGTTTGCTTGGTGTATGAAGCATTGGCCATGACGTAGGTACCACATGCACTTGAAGAGTCCTAGCCAGAGTAATGTTGATTACTTCTGTGCTACTGTTTATGCTTCATTAGCTTGTTAGATAGCTCACCTGAATGGGAGCAGGTGGCAAGCAGGATGACAATGGCTTTATTCGGATTCAGATCAGATGACCACCAATAAATTGCAAATACCTCTCCGTTGCAGAGCAGCAGCAGGTTAGCAAAACTGAGCAGATCTGGCTTCTTCCAGCTTCTTAAACTGGCTCAGTTGGCTCGTTTGAGTTAGTGCCAATTCAGGAATCTTCAAAGGCTATAATCCGGACTTTCACCTTCATCCAGTATGGTTGCAGTGCCATTGCATCCTCTTCGGATCCAGCTGGTGAAGAAGCAACATGCTGTCCAGATTGTCATCTATTTCAACTGTTTCCCTTATCTCTGTTTTACCCCATTCCTACATGAGCTTGTGTTTGAGGTGGCCATCACTGGAGCCAAGGCTATGATCCTGAGCTTCAATGCTAAGATTCTTTTGGACAAAGGTTTACTAGTCCATAATCTGGGGTGGGCAATAAAAGACAGGCAGCCCGCAGGATTAGTCCCTGGTGTGCTGCCACTGCCATGTTTACTTGTGCCTCCGCAGGTATCAGAGGATCGCAGTGAATCGTTGTTTGTGGCCAGTGTGAGTGGTGGGAAGCGTTGCAGCTGGGGACGTCATTTCCCACCATTTGCGTTGGCCACGAACAGCGATTTGCAGCCAACGAGAACTGCTATCCTCTGATAACTGTGGAGGCGCATGAAGGTGGAGACCTGCCAGGGAAAAACCTTGCGGGCTGGAATTTGCCCACCTCTGCCATAGTTGAAGCCTTTTGCATTCTGAAATATCAGGTCTTCCTGGTCAAAGGACAGACTGACCTTTGGAAAAAAGCCTCTGCCCAGGTTAAGTCAGTTTCCTGAGACAGAATGCCAGGAGTTTTTTAAGGTACAAAATAAATAGTGCAGGGGAGCATGAACCTGCCAGGCACCTGGTGTAGACAGTCTTTGATGTGAGTGATAGTATCTAGCATGTGTACATGAATGCCTTTGTAAGTTAGCCAGGTTAAAGGATCATTCATTCAGACAGTTCAGGTGGCTTGTGCTGTCTTTCTCCTGGATGTTTCTAGCAGTATACAAAATGGCTACATTATATCTTTGTTCCATGTAGTTACAAAGCAGTTGTTTAGATTCAGCTTATAGGAAGAAATCCCATTTTTGAGTTAAAATCTAGTAGAACTTGTACATCTGCAAATTTTCATCCATCTCTCTGTGTTTGGAGAGGACCTTTATGAAGTGTTGATTCCTCAGATTTTTGATGCTTTTGTTATTCAGCCTTCTGAGGCAATCTTTTTCCCTAATTATTTTGTTTTGTGATTGGCTAATTGTCTTTGTGGAGCTTTCAAATGCTGCTAAAATCTGGAATTGACTGAAAGAATCCACAGGTAATAATTATATTCAGGATGTTATGTGACCTCCGGTAGGGGAAGAATAGCTCATGCTCCTACCTACTACCATTGCCTTTAAGGATCAAAAAGCACTAAGATCATGAACTTCCTCCAGCCTCACTTAAGCCAACTGAGACCCAGGAGTGAGAATCCTGCAAGATATTTTCAGATGAGCAGAATTACAAGGTAAAGTAGCTTTTCCTTTATGTTTTGTACAGTTTTCACAGAAAATCTATACTGATGCTTTATAATGCTGTCATAAATACTTGCCAGTTCAGTATGGTGTTTGTAGTCTTTGTTAAGAAATGCATTCAAACTAACCTTGGTGCTAGTTAAGCTGCTGTGTGCAGAAATAGATACTATGTTTTTAGGGGTTCATCTGATGAATTCAAAGATTTGATTTTTGTCAAATATAACTAGGCCCAAAATACAGTTTTATCCAAATGTTATTAAAAAACTTTAGTTATACAATGTTCTGTGATAAATGATTCAATGATCTAAAAAAAATTATCTTCAGTATTTGTGCTGGTAAAAAAGAGCCAGGAAATGAAAATGGCCAGTCTACTTTAATTTTCCCGAATGAGTGAAATGCTAGCAGTAACAAATGGCATAAATGACTGAGCAAGGATGCTGAAGAGCACATGTAGAAAAAATGGAAGTTATTTACTACTTCCTCACCCCAGGTTTATCTGCTGTAAACTGTAATTTTGTAAATGTTGGTTTGAAATTTGGGGATTTCATTAAATATTTGGCAGCTGTTGCATCTAGGGATGTAAAATCCCATTTAGTCAGTTAACCGGTTAAACATTAGATTTAGCTGATTAAGCAGAATCCCCAAGTAGAGGACCCAGTCCATCCTGGTTTGAGCAGCTCCCAGTTTGTGGGGCTGCTGGCTCTGCTGGCACCATGAGGAGCTGCTGGCTCTTGCCCCAGCCCATTACCCCTTCACCATCCCTAGGTGGATCATCACATCGCTGGTAGTAGTCAGCAGTGTGCTTATCTTTGCTTGGCAAGGAGACTGAGCATTCCTTTTCCCCAGCAAGAGTTGGGGGAAAGGAATGGAACACTTCTTGCACCAAATCCAGCTCCCAGTGGATGAGGGGGGATGGGAAGGGTCTCCACATATGTCAGACTTTTATCCGACAAGGCTGGTATAAGATGACAAACATACCAGGCTGTAAAGGGATGTAAACATACCAGGTCACTCTTCCTCCTGGCACTCCAGGAGGAAAGGGCTAGAGAGATACAATCCGTTGTCACTAAGGAGCAGCTTATGGGCAAGCAGCCTTTATGAGAAGGTAACACTTTCTTTATTACAGCACCCAACAGACTCTTGCTGCTACAACAGAGTCTTAGTTGCTGCATTTCCAAATCCCTTTTCCTTGTTGGCTCCATGTTTTAGCCCCTAATTGCTAGTTTTTTCTCTGTACAGGATTGTTTTATTAGGTTCACTTGACTCATCCATCGATGGAGCTGGAGTACTGACAACATTATCAACATACTTCTGACAGTCTTCAGGCTTCACATGTGCTGATGATGATGTAAACCAACTGTGCCCCAATCATCTTCCCCTTCTCTTAGGCTCTTACTACATATTGCCACAGAAGACATTAGTGGAGCTGAGGAGATGAACATGAAATTTGGCACCTTGCTGAAGAGCTGTAGGCACCTCATGGAATGTGCTAAGGAGCTTGAAGTCCAAATAGTTGGTGTTAAGTAAGCAGTCTTTCATTTTTTCCCTTTGTAATATTAATTAATCAAACCTGGATTTAACTTAAATATCTTTTTAGTGTGCCAGTTCATTCTACTATATTCTCCCTTTCTTATAGGGAAAAAAATAAAATCTGTTTGCATGTCAGAAAACCTGCTAAGGCTTTCTGCTAAGGCTACTTTTGACTGCCATTGACTTCCCTCTTTTGTTCTTGTGCTTTATCTGTCTAACTCTGCATAGAAGAATAAATCATTGAACTGATGAAAGGCAATAGAGGGGAGGGGGAGAGAAATCAGTACAGACACTGGGTGAGATCATGATGTAAGATTTTAACTATGGAAAGTTTAGAGTGATATCCATAGTAATCACTTGAAAGTTCAGAGTTGTAATTTTAGATTTTGACCTGTAGATGGCAGATGATGTTTTTGAAGTATTTTTAGTCTTCCTAAACAGTGACCTGTGATACTTTTAATATAGAGTAACATAGGTACACAAAGAGTAAAAAAATTCTCTTATCACAGTGACCAAAAATTGATGTACACATTTTCTGTCTTTAAAAACTTGTGAAACATTGATGAATATGTGTTTGATAGATTAAGGAAATAAAAAAAATGTTCCTCTTATTTTGATTACCAGTCACCAGCATGGGTTAAAAATTGATTATTTAACTACACGCATTTGATTTTTTTTAAATTAAATACATCTTTTAAAAAACAAACCTATTTAAAATTGAAATTGGCAACATATATTAATTCTTAGACTTACTATAATCTCCAGAAGTATTTAATTTTAATACTAATACTCAAACAGCATGTGTCTTGCTGCCAAAGTTTTAAAGTCAGCTGATGGAAATCAATGAACTGATAGAAATCATTGGCTAGTCACGTGGAACCAGTGTGTCAAAATGCTAAACCAGCTTTTTGACAGCAGTAGTTGCTTTTGCAAGTGTAGATTTCAATTAGTTTCATTGAATGACAAGTTCATTCAAAGTTGGGAAGTCAAATCAGTTTTAAATGGAAAATATAACTTGATAAACTTATGTATCCAGCACACTTGAAATATTTTTAACTAAAAACTTTGTGCATTTTAATTGAATTCTAATTTGCATCGATGAAATGCAGCTTGACAACCATCACCAGTAAAAATATTAATTATCTAAAAAAAATCACTAGAACTGCATCATTCACCATTTTCAAATGTAAAAATCTGAATCTGTTAAGCTATATAATTGCTTTGAATAAATGTTTGTAGGTAATGTATCCTCCTGGCTAGCAAAAAAGTACCAGATTGTACCAGCCAATGACAATTACCCTTTCTTTAGAAAAATAACTAAAAAGCACAAATTCAAAACAGGATTAAAGTTGATTTAAATGGATCCATCCTGTCTGTCACAATGAAGACTCTGAATGAGGTATCAATAATCTGTCTAGAGTTTGTCACTTTTCAGTAACATTGAGGCTGAGCTAGGTTGAGAGGAGAATACAATTTGTTAGTATACAAAGTTTAATCAGTATGTCTAAAACTTTTAACTTAATTGATTTTCATTTCTATAATGTGCCATGTGGCTCATAAGGCTTCCAAAAGAGGCAGAAAATATAGCTGACGGAGTTTGTGCCTGGTTTTGTCTCACTCTTCATTATCTCCTTTCATCTTTCAGATGTTCGGCCAAATAATCTGAAAAAAAATACTTAGTCCATTTTTGTGACATTACAAGATTGAGCGCTAAAATATATTAAAATGTTCTCCATTATAGTCCAAACTTACATTCTATTCGGTTTCCCATTATTTGACTGTTTGATTGCCTTATTGTCCATTACACATCACCTACTTTGCTCTTTGTGCTGTTTAAATACTTATGTGCAAACTTCTTTAATATGTAACGTGTTCATTGTTAGAGGTTGAATGGCTCAAGGGTAGTGATAATGGGGATACAGAGCCTTTTACCTCTAGATTGCTGCTTTGGTTCCTTTCCAACTTAGTGATCAGAAGTGACCATCTGATGCAAAGTTAGTGTTTTTTTTTCACAAGCACCAAAGCTCCATAATATAGGGGTGTGAAAAACAAAAGATATAAAACAAATTGTAGTCTTCATCTAGTTCCTTTGGACAAGAGTCGCCCTTTTAATTGGCACCTTGTTGGCAACCTGAGCAGAGCGGTTTAGAACAGTGCTTCTCAACCAGTGGTACGAGTACCTTTAGGGGTACTCAAGAGAAGTCTGGGGGATACGTCAGCACAAGTGAAATTTGGAGAACTGAATTTTTGTGTTAAGTTTTACAGCACTTTATTATTTTTGTAATTTTTACACCCAAAACTTCATCGCCCGCCCAGCTACAATTAAGTTGTTTAAACAAATGTGTTAAAATGGTAGACAAAAATTGTCTGAAAACTGCAGGTACTGGTAGTACTTTTTTTTTTTTTTTTTTTAAAGGGGGTAAAAAGGTTGACTAACACTGGTCTAGAAGACTATATGTAACAATGGAATCAGAATTACCTTCTCATCTCTCCATTGTCAAAATGGATGTGTTTTTTTATAAAGGAAATGTACACCTTCACTGTTTCTGGCCCTTCAGAACAAAACGTTTTATAAACATTGTGTCACTTTTAAAAGGCCCTTTGCTAAGGAACAATGAACAATTTTTATGAAAAACATAGTATCACAATATTTTTAAGTTACAGTGATGAAGATGTTTATTTTTGTCAGTTCTGTCATAGCAAGATAGTGATCTGAGATTTTTGAGACCAGAGTGCTGGCGTAAACTGTGTTCTGTTCCTTTCATGACTAGTTTTAGGTATGAGAAAATGACAGGTTAGTCTGATCTATTCTTAACCTCATTTTCTGTTCACCTGTTTTGAATTACCCCATCTAATCTGTGCCATCAATCTGGTCTACAATGGAAATAATCAGAGATAATTGGAAATAACGGTTGTTCCCAGTAGTTTTACATCATCTGTTGTTTTAATGTGTCCCTCGGGTCATTTGTATAGTTCATTTGAATTCTTCAAAGCTTAAAATTCTGTTTTAAAACGAATCAAACTAAGATGGACACAGTGGATAGTGAAGTTCTAGGACTGAGTTTCAGAGTATTTTCTGTAATCTGTTCTCAGATGCTGTCTCACTACTGAGCCCATTTTTCTTTCAGCCTATTTCAATACATTATTTATATGGATTCTCCATTTGGAAATTTTAACTAATATTTTGAGAACACTGACAATTTCGTTGTTAAACATTCTTAAATTATGCTGTACAAATTTGTCTCGTACAAAATTAATGGGCTAGAAGGAAAGCAAAAATGTATTGAAGTCTCTTCCTGTAATCTGTGTAGATTGAATACGTTTCTCATGAATAAATAAAATCCACCTATTCATGGAAATATATTTATAGTATACCTTATGTGCATTTTTACTACTATCAAAACAATACTTCACTTGTCACATTTCTTTGAGTGATCTGCTATACATTCCTATTAGTCTAAATATATCAGTGGTCTGTTTGTTAATGCATATTGTAGGTTTCTATGTGTTTACTGTATTTATTTTCTTTTAGATTTCAGGTTTCAAGCTCTTGCAAGGAACCTCAAGTGTACATTCATGCTATATCTGATGCTCGGTGTGTGTTTGACATGGCTGTAAGTAGTTTTGCTGGTATATGATTTATTAGTCATCATCCTACTCTGTTCTCATTAATGGAGATGAGAAGAATTGTATCCCAAAATGTGCATTGCTAGTTTGATATGGGTAGGAAAGATAATTGCTATGAAGACCCTTCAAATAAAGGAATGATTACACTACTGAATAGTAAATTGTAGATCTTAATTAGTATTTAACGTTACAGTTTTCCACTAAAACATCATTTTGATTGGTTTTTAAAATTTTCATTGAGGGTCAACTGTTATTTTTTTAAATCCCAGATCTCAACTCAAGCAGAATATATTTGTCTTTCTAAGTTAAGAATACATCTTAAAGTAAACTAAAATGTTTTATCTAGAAAGACCAATGTACAGGTTCTGTTTTCTCTGCATGAGTTGAAATCATTACCAACTGAACAGTGCATGTGACTCCCTTCCTTATGTTGTCTTATATAATTATGTAATTGAGCTTTAGGAGGGGGACGAAGACAGAACTCTAACCCTCTTGGCCAGGGCCATCCTTAGGATTTTTGGTCCTCTACACCATACTAATGAACTAGTACCCCTATGCCTGACTTGCTCTCAGCAAAACAAACATAAGTTTATAGAATTGGAAAACATGCCACATGCATGGAGGTTAGGTCCATAAAAGGCTATTAGCCAGGGGGTAGGAATGGTGTCCCTGGCCGATGTTTATCAGAGGCTGGAGGTGGATGGCATAAGACAAATCGCTTGATCATTGTCTTCGGTCCCCCCCCTCCGGGGCACTTTGCTCTGGCCACTGTTGGCAGACAGGCCACTGAGCTGGATGGACCTTTGGGCTGACCCAGTATGGCCGTTCTTATGTTCTTATGCATTTTAAACAAATTAAGCACACTCTAATACTGATGGACTAAATGCTATATTAAGAGTAACAGGGTTATAGGAAAGCTGGTCAACATTTTTTGTTTTTCTGATGTAAACTGGCCCACTCCCTCCACGAAGCCAGTCACTTTATAACTGTCAACTTTAATTTTCTATTTTTGGCTAAGGTATTGGTTTTTCTTTCAAAAATACTGAAATTGGATTGAGCATTGTTAGCATTTTTTACAACCAAAAGGTTAAATCACAGTCTCACATTGTTTTTGGTAAAATGTCATCAAGACTTGGGCAAAAAGAGGAAAACCAGTTCATTTTGAACTCTGTGTAAACATATAGTTGAAAAATGTAAAGAGAAAATAATCTGCAATAAAACAATATTCAACATATTCGTACCCAAATCTGATAAATGGCTGCATTGTAAAATGCATTCATGCTTGGCTCACTGCTGGCCAGCTGGTCCAATAGCTGCAGTAGAGGAGATTGCATGTGAAGAGTGGATTTTGGAAGTCCACAGCTTTCATACTGAGTGCCAAAAGGAGCAGCAGCAAACCCCTCAGGTCAGGTCACTCCACCAAGAAACGCTGCCTGGCATCTCGGGGACTAGGGACTTGTGGGGTGCAGCTGCGTCTCCTGCCCAATGCAGTGAGTGGATATGGGGGGACAGGGAAACAGGAACAGTATGTGGAGAGGGAGGGGGTGTGGAGATGCGGGGGGGCATGGGGATCAGAGGGGGACAGGGGAACAGGAGGACTGGGGCAAGGGGGGCCCAGGGGAAAAAGGATGTCGGGGGTGGGAGGAGAAGGGAGTCAGTGAGTGTGAAATGGGACAGGTAGGAAGGGAGACAGTGAAAGGGAGGGGAACAAGAGGAATTATGGGGGCAGGGGAAGAGGAACAAGGTGACACTGGTGGGTAGGCAGGGAGGGAGGCACAAAAGGGGATGCTGTGCAGCCATGGGCATGGATCTGCTTCCCAACTTACCACTTGGGCTTGGTCTGCAGCAGAAGCCTGGTGCAGAAGGTTGACCTAAGATATGTACCTCCAGCTATGTTAATTGCGTAACTGGAGTCAATGTATCTTAAAACATTGTCCACACGGTCTTCTGTTGCCTTTTCTTACTCCTTGCAGAACGAGGAGTATTGGATGCCTATGGGAGCTGCCCTCAGCATTTGATTTACGGGTCTACATTAGACTCTCAAAATCGAATGCTAAAAGATCAACCTCCGGAGGGTTGATCTTTTAGCTAGTTGTAGACATGCCTTTAGAGTACACGCTCAGGCTTGCTGCTAAGGTGCAAGTGTGAGCCACTTTCTTGCTCTGCAGCCAGCCCAAGCATCTGGACCCAAGCTGATCAGCAGCCCCTCCCCTTGAGAGCGAGAGATTCCCCTCTTCCCACAGGAGCTCTGCAGCAGCCCTAGTCACGCATGCACTCCTAGTCACTTGGAGGGAAGGGATGCTGGAGCTGACTGGCTGTGGAGGAATGCTTGGAATGCTGTTGCTCTAGTCCACACAGTTGCATGTAGTTCGCCTGTTGGTAAGGATGGCCCTGCTCTTGGCAAAGAGGAATTTATTTTTTGACACTGGTAAATTAATTTTTTGTTTTAAGATATACATGTATGCCTCTCTTGTTAAGGAAACACATTTTCAATGCAAAAATCTCTGTTTACTTTCTGGGAGAATAAATTTGATTTCAGAAAAATCCCAAGATAATGACCTTTCTGTGATTACTGCAAAATTACTGAAGTGATTAATTAAGGAAGACCGTTGAAGTTCCCACAGTGGTTGTAACTCTGCTCCCTTGTGGATATGCATTTTAAGAGAGGCTTGCGTTATATTATGATACCATGAAGCCATTTATATTATACTTACTATATGTGCATCTGAGGTTATAAACATATAATTATTTTCCATTATACTGTAATAAAGTATTCGCTGAACATCATGCTGCTCTGTCCACTTTTGTAAGAAAAGACTCTACTGCATACTCAACATGGGCCGAGTTAAGGTTGCTTATGGGGATTTTACTTCAGTCTCTTTATGAATACTGCAGTAATGTGTACTGTAGAATAATACTAGGTATAACTGGAATGAAGTCTTCAGAGGAGTACTTTTCCACTGTATTTAAGATGTCACAATTTCATGTTTAATAGCATGATCATACAATATTGAATGAGATTGGAGAGAAGAGTTTCAATAAACTTTCTATTGACTGCATACTTAAAGGCCTGTCTATACTTCCTTTTAGGAAGAATTTGGCTTTAAGATGAGCATGTTGGACATTGGAGGGGGCTTCACAGGTTCAGAACTTCAGCTGGAAGAGGTATGCAACTCAATGGACGTTAGAACTAGCTTGCCTTTCATTTATTGGCTTGGAGTTTTGACATGTTAGTTTCCAAATAATGTTGATCGTTAAAATCCAATTGACAATAGATTTAAAGCCATGGGGATGGACTGAATTATATGCCAGGATTTCAGTGTGAAGTTATTAGCAGAGAATTCGTATATCGGTCCACATAAATTGTTCACAAAATTGTCAAGTGCTAAGGACTTAGAAATGGGAGAAACAGTAACCATTCTAAATGTCCAGAAAACCAACGCCTCCACTATCCTTATAATTTTTAAAATGCTGAACACTTTTTACCATGAGGATTTTGCCCCTTTCTTCTGGAGACAGTTCTTAGCATATTCATAGTGGATGCGTACTGACCTGCTGCTGCAGCTGGAATTTTCAGTATTCTGGTTTAGAACTGCTGACATGGTGCATCAGCTGGATGTTTGCTTAAATGAGCTTTCAGATATGTACTCTTACAGCAGGTCTACATTGAAAAGTTACAATGGCATAGTGACTTTTCAGGGATGTCAGAAATCCACACTGAAGGGAGACAGTTACGCTGACCTAACACCTGGTATGCACAGTGCTAGGTGAACCAAGAAATTCTTCCACTGATCCAGCTCCGCCTCTCAGGGAGGTGGATTACATAAAGCTAAGGGAGAAAACTTTCTGTCACTGTAGTGTCTTCATGAACTGTAGACAGACCCTCATTTGATCTCTGGTGTGTTGTCATGACTTATCAGAAGCAGTCTGCTGCAAAGCAGCCTTTGTCTACAGTGAGCCTTGGCCAGCCATGGACAGGGACTGCTGCCACCAAATAGCCCCTGTTCACAGTGGCTTGAGCTGTCTGTCGCAAACAGGGACTGCTGAACTCAGTGCGAGCTGGGACCAAGCAGTCCCAGCTCATGCTGACAGCTGCACCTTTGCATTTTAAATGTGAGAGTCTGGCTGCTCTTACCACATTTAAAATGTAGAGCCACAGCAGGCTCCTGGAACCTGCATGAGCCAGGACTGCTGAGTCCCAGCTAGAGCCAGCTCCTGAAGCTACCCCACTGTGGCTCTAGAGAGCGGTGCTTACTGACTGATTCTATAGTTAATACAAATTGTATCAACTACATGATTAGCCTGATAACCGCAATTTAACATCTTTACCGGGAACCTCATTCCTCTTTGTCCCATCCCTTCGCACTGTGGAGCAGGGACACCAAAGGGATCGGGTGTCTCAGTTGGAGGCCAAATCAGTGAGAGTTGGCAGTTTTTGGAGAAGTTTTTTTTTCTTCTCATTTGTGGTCCCTAGCTGATTTTTCTGTGGGTCAGTGGCCCCCAACCAAAAAAAGGTTCCCCACCCCTGCCATAAGTAAAGAAAACATTGAAACCTTTTGTGTTGGTCATAAATTAATATTTTGCTTTATTTAAAATGAAGTTTGATAAGCACAGGAAAGTTAAAACACTCAATCTGTTTTATAATTTTAAATTAAACCATTCTCCCTAGCTGCAGCACCAGCAAAATGGCTTGAGTGTAATTAACAGTGAGCTTCCATTAGCAACTGTGAAAGGTTAATGTTGAGCCGGGTGGATCACGTGCCAAAAAGTTTCAGAACCACTGAAATAGAGGCAACCCCTGTGTTAATGCAGTGAAAGTTGGATTAATGCAGTATAGTTACATGGGAGGGTCCTTTGGGGGCCAAGCCCATCCCTATTGGCAGAGGACAGTGGGAGGAGTTCTTAGAGGGGTCACACAACACCCTTTCCTTCCAGTCATGTGTCCATCTTAACCCTGGAAGCACTGCCTCCAGGGGTGGAACTATGTGACAGGTGGGTGGGGGCTAAGGGATCAGAGGGTGTGGCTGTGTCCCTGTTTTTGGTTCAGAAAATATGGTCACTGTACCCATGCTCCCTGCGGTGCCCCCTCTCCCCTTGTTGCCTCTGTGAGAGGCAGCGGAGGTGGGGAAAGGGGAAGTTAGTCTTGAAAGTTGGTTCCCCCCAGTACCACGTCCAGAGTGCCACCTGCTCCCCCCTACTGTCTCATCAGACCTGGACATTTGCTTAGATGAGTCTATCAGAGGCAGCAGTGGGGAATGGGGAGACTACTGTGGAGTGGCCCATATCTGCAGGGGTTTCAGTGGGGAGCTGGGCCCTCCTGCGAACAGGAGCTGCTGCCACTAGCAGCCCCTATTTGCAGCAGACAGCACTGTCTACTGCAAACAGGGGCTGCTGGACTCAGCGGGAGTTGGGATCCCACAGTCCCGGCTTGTGAAGAGCCTGGCCGCGCTACTGCATTTAAAATGAAAAGCCGTAATGTGGGTGGCTCCTTGACCCAGCACAGGCTGGGATTGCTCAAGCCAGCTCCTGGATTTATCCCCGCTGCAGCTCTGCAGAGCGGTCCTGTCAACTACACGATTAACCTGATAACAGCATTTTAACATCCTTAGTCGTGACCTGGTGACTAGTGAATAGTGGCAATTTATATGGATTACTGAGTTTTGTGTACTCTTAAAGGGTAAACTTCCAAAGCTTAGGGTGCTGAAACAAATAGGTTCAAACAGTTAAAATCATTAATAGAATTTTCAAAATTTCCTATTTAATTGTCTTTCCGAGTAGTTATGGACAAGTCATGCAAGGCTATGACCGTAATACTGAAGTTAAAAATAGGATTAATGTTGGGTTCCAATTTGTTTCTCTATTTACCAAGATGCAAAACTGAAAATAATGATCCTTAACTCTTATAAAATGTTTGGTGATCTAGTGATGGAAAAACTCTTACATAGAGTTAGGAATTATTATTAGGTGCCTAAGTATGAAATCAGCATCTCAAAAGTAATATCCATTTTATTTTTGTAAATCTTAACAGTGATGTCTGAAACTTGATTCAGCGAAGGCCCAAAATGGAGAGTAACAATCAGCTTGTGGCCAACTCACCAGCACTGTAAATTGTTGGTTAGGAATAAGAACTATAAATAAACTTTAAAATCAGGTGAACGATCTAAACATTAGCTGTGACTTCAATTTCCTAGGTTAATCATGTCATCAGTCCATTGCTGGATGTCTACTTTCCTGAAGAATCTGGTGTTAATGTGATTGCAGAGCCCGGATGTTATTATGTTTCATCTGCATTTACTCTGGCAGTTAACATAATTGCAAAGAAAGCTGTTGAATATGATAAATTTCTTCCCTCTGGAAGTAAGCAACATATTTGTTTTGTGTATATGTGAACAAGCCATAAGTCTCCACTGTTTTCAGCATAGCTCAATTTCATTTGTAGGTCATGATTACGTGCTTTTTTTGTATGTCTTATATTCAGCAAATGGCTCATACTTTAATTTGTGTTTTGAGATTCTGCCCATTGTTTATTTTAGGCCTGGCAGAATTAAGTGTTTGAACAATAATACTGCTGTTTGGTTTTAAGCTTTTTTTCCCATATATATATATTTTTTAAAATATTGTTTCATATGTAGTTTAAATTTTCACGTTTGTGGGAAATCATGTTGGGTGGTCAAGCAATACTTATAAAAAGCTTGGACTTTATACCTTAAAACAAATTGTCATTGCCACTACATGTCAATATATAAAAAATGAATATAGTTAAATCAAACTAAAATTCTCGAGCAGAGTTTTTCTTATTTTGCCTATATATATATTTATCATTGGTGGAAATATTTTTCATCAATTTGTGGGGTATATAGTGAAAGACCTTTATGGATAAAAATCTAATCCTTCCAAGCCTGGTTAATCTGCATCTGTGTTCATTTTCTACTTCTTGTGTGTGTTTGGCACTGCTTGTTTCCTAACTAGTAAACGTGACAAATAGTAAACATCTAGTCTCTTCAGGCATCCTATCAGCATATAATGAAAACTGTATTGGGGCAGATGGAAGAACATTCAATAGAGCTACTATTGTCCCTCTTCTAATCGAGATTTTGGATATATTTTTTTTTTAAAGAAATGACTAGAATATTAAGAATGCAAAATGTGCCCTCATGTATAGCCTTTAGTGGTAGGCTTGAATTACAGGCAGTCCCCGGGTTACGCGGATCCGACTTATGTCGGATCCGTACTTACGAACGGGGCTTTTCTTGCCCTGGAGGATGCGGGCGGCAGGCCCGCCCAGACCAGCCGCGGTCCTGCCGCCCGTGTCCTCCGGGGTGAGAAAAGCTGTCTCCCTAGTCTGCTGGGGGCAAGCAGACCAGGCTTTTCTCGCGGATGCCGGGGCAGAGCAGCTGAGGCGCTGCCGATTGGTCCTGCAGTACCGCTCCTCGGTGCTACTGGACCAACCTGGCACCACCCCAGCTGCTCTACCCCAGGTGTCCCCAAGTCAGCTGCTGTTGAAACTGATCAGCGGCTGATTCCAGGAAGCCCGGGGCAGAGCAACTCCGCCTCGGGGACGCCTGGGGCAGAGCAGCTGAGGCGCTGCCGATTGGTCCTGCAGTACCGCTCCTCGGTGCTACTGGACCAACCTGGCACCACCCCAGCTGCTCTACCCCAGGTGTCCCCAAGTCAGCTGCTGTTGAAACTGATCAGCGGCTGATTCCAGGAAGCCCAGGGCGGAGAAACTCTGCCTCGGGCTTCCTGTAGTCAGCCGCTGGTCAGTTTCAGCAGCAGCTAAATCTGGACGCCAGTTCCGACTTACGTACAAATTCAACTTAAGAACAAACCTACAGTCCCTATCTTGTATGTAACCTGGGGACTGCCTGTATATTCTAGTCTTAGAATCACATTCCTTCCCCAACATTCTTATCCCAGTGCATATTTTACATACCCGTGAGAGAAAATAAACTGTTACAGAGAATTACCAATGGAATGTTTTTATTACAAAAATATGTAACTGTTTTTCTTCCAGCGGAGCAAACCAGGAGTGATGTTGAGCCAATCTTTATGTATTACATGAATGATGGTGTTTATGGCTCTTTTGCAAGTAAATTGTCTGAGGAATTGAATACCATCCCAGAGGTTCACAAGGTGAGTCTATATCACATATTCTTATAGAATGTATAAAGGGTTATTCTTTTGCAGGGGAATTCTGCAGGTCCATTACAGTGGTTCTTGCTTCTGTTTGCAGCTTCTTTGGGGCAGTAACCAGACCTGCTAATCAGGCAGGTGCAGTTACCAACTCCCTTAAGGCCCAGCTCTAGCCAGTTTAAGCTGGCTAGAGGGATTTATAAGACCTCCTGCTCAGAACAACAAGAAAACAAAGCAACCACAAAGAATTAAGTGTTACTTGGTTTTTATTTTGCCTCAGATGGGAGGCGGTTGTGCTCTGCAGCAGGCTTACTAAACACACTCTTCTCTCCTCTTGACTTCTTGGCTGCAGAAGTTTCCAATGTAACATGCCTGTCCGGATATACCTCTGGTAGAACACCTCCCAGGCGTTTAGGAGGGTGCAAAAATGTCTGGGCTAAGTTGAGGATACTTATGCCATGGATGGCTATGCCAGAACTCCCTGGCCAGCTCAACTCTGTGTTGTGGGTCAGCAATGTGCTGTTTGCCAGCCTAATGGGACCCTGCTTCAGATGGTAGTCAAGTTAGTCTGTACAGGATCAACTTAAAAAAAAGCCTGGTAGCACTTTATAGACTAACACATGTAGATGGTGGTATGAGCTTTTGTGGGTGCAGCCTACTTCTTCAGATGACCTTGTTAGCCATGCCCCATACTGAAGGGCTAAGGAACAAGCAGCAATTATGGTCCTCTCCGCTCAATACTTTTCTAATTTACTTCACCCTCTTTAACAAGGTGGAATCATTCCTTATGGAACCTGCTTTGCCCATCCTAGGATTGTGTTCTCTCAGCCTCTACCCTACCCTATGTTGCACTGCTAGTACACAACAAGGTCCTGAAAATGCCCAGGGCCTTCTGGCAAACCCCATTGTCTGTCCCTCCCACCTCCAAAAGTGCTGAAAAGTAGTACTGTGTCCTGGTTAATGTGTTCAGATACCTTTAAACCACCCACCTCAGAGCTCTCTGGTTGTCCCTGAGGCCAACAAAAAGGACAAGCAGGGGCATGCTAGTTTGACTCCCGAAAATAAAGAGATTGAAAAACTGGACCTTTTTGGGAGAAAATAAAATATAGCCATCCTCCAATTCCAGGTGGCAGACCATCAAGCCCTTGTGGTCAGGTACAATTTTAACTTATGGAAGTCCCTCTTTAATTTCAAGGAGTCCTTCTATTGGGTTCTGTCCCAGGAATTGAGCACCACAGTAAAGGAGAGAGCTGCAGCAGCTAGGTGCGCTCTCCACATTGTGGGACACACTGGAATTAGTGGTTGTGTTGGTGGTGGTAGTCATGGGACAGCTTCTGGTTTCAGATAGCTGGTCGGGCCCAGGACATACACAGACCTCTTTCTAGGACCTTCCGTTTGATCAGAAACTGTACTGTGTAAACTATGTGCTTGTGCTCGAGAGATTCAAATACTGTCTTTTGCTGATTAGCAGAGCACACACTGTTAAGCTTTTTGTTTCTACTGGTGGTGCACATTCACACAAATGGATGGAAAATGTTAGAGGAGTCATTGATGGGGGAATGTTCTTTCTTTGGAACAGACTGATGCGAGGCTGCATGGGTTAAAATATGTATGTGCCACTCTTCACTCACTGGGCATGCATATGCCATAGTCTGCATGGAAACAATTCTGGATACCCCTGCTGCTAAGCCCTTGGCAGTCTCATCAGGTGTCTTTTAAGGAGAAGGGATAGAGACCTTTAGTCAGTTTCCTTGCAGTGTTATCTTGGACTGGTTAGGTCAGTGGTAGGCAACCTATCATCCATCGGGGGTGGGGTGGGTGTGTGTGTGTGTGTGTGTCCCACACAAACGATGGTTTGCCAGATTCCACTAGTTTACATCAGTGCGGCTTTTTTTCCTACCGGTATTACTCAGTGACATGCATGTGAAGCAAGGTATGTGCTGGTTGCACACATTTGACTAAAGAGTAATGAACTCCCTCCGCATCTAATGAAAGTGCTGCTACAGTTCAAATCAGCACACCCCACAAATTCTAGGTATGTGTAATGGTTGGGCGGGGTCTTTAAGGGTTTGGCTACAACCAATCTGTGCCCTCAAGAAATTGTAAGCAGGCTCAAGACTTGTTGTTATGGATCTGTGGACTTCCTCTGGGCGGGGGGAGGAATTTTGAATAAATTAATATAAATATTCCTATTATGTGTCCTTAACAAATTTGTTTTTCACTTTAAACTAAAGCCTGACTTGACTGTGTTTGTTTTGTTTTTTAATGTAGAAATACAAGGAAGATGAGCCTCTGTTTGTCAGCAGCCTTTGGGGTCCATCCTGTGATGAGCTCGATCAAATTGTGGAAAACTGTCTTCTTCCTGAGTTGAGTGTTGGAGACTGGCTAATCTTTGATAATATGGGTTCTGGTACCTTGGGTCAGCAGTCTGCTTTTACTGATTTTCAGAGACCACCAGTTTACTACATGATGTCTTTCACTGACTGGTAAGATGAACTTAATATTTGCAGTAGTGTTTGCTCTTTAGCTATTTTTTTAATGGGAAGAAGTTTAAGCATAATCCTACAGTTGATGCATAACTGCTGTAAGAAGACTGAAGATTTCAAAAATCAATGTAGACAATTCTTTATTACAGTGCCACTGTTCTTTCATACAGAACTACATTAACGTGAATTAAGTTGTCATTACCCACAACTATTTCCAATTTGGAGACAATTTATACCTTCAAGTCAGCAGTACTGCATGGCCCCACAATATGCCATTTTTATGGCTGACTTTGAACAACATTTCCTCCGCTCTCATCTCCTGCTCACCAGGCTCACAGGGCCCCCCTTCAAACTCCTAGCATTCTGCTCCCTTCTGCTTTTGTCCTGGAAGGTCTCCTTTTTGGTTGTTAACACTGAGGTCTTGTTCTTTGAGATGTTTTGCTTTATGTTCATTCCATTACCCACCGTCAAATCCCTGTCAGTTGTTGGCAAGAAGAACCAAGAGGGTGCAGCCCAGTGATGTTGGATATACTGCGGTGGGAGTGCAGTGCTCTGGGGGCACCACAACCAAGCTCGAACAGGTACTGCAAAGCAACTCCACATGTGGGCATGCACACACCCACAATGGAATGGATGTGAGCAACACATCTTTAAGAACAGTTACAGAATGGTAACTTTTTTTTCTCACAGCAGTGTCCATGCAGGGCAAATTAGAGCAGAATATGGGGTTGTGAATTGCAGAGCACATTGAACTAGTCTACCATGTGTTGCAGTGTAGACAAGTCTTATTTAAGACAATGGTAGACTATATACAGTTGTAAGTACAGGCAGTCCCCGGGTTACGTACAAGATAGGGACTGTAGGTTTGTTCTTAAGTTGAATCTGTATGTAAGTCGGAACTGGCGTCCAGATTCAGCCGCTGCTGACTTGGGGACACCTGGGGCAGAGCAGCTAGGGTGCTGCTGGGTTGGTCCAGTGGCGCCCAGAGCGGCGCTACGGGACCAAT